CACACACACACACACACACACACACACACACACACACACACACAATGTTAAAACACAATGCTTGGAATCAGCGGGACAGTCAGTGTTTGATGGCACAAATGTCATCTTTTGTACCTCTTGGGGATTAAAAAACTAACAGCTTCTGAAATTCACTACATTTTTTTCCCTCCGTTTGGCAGAAAGTCTGAGAGAAAATTGCAACTCGAGCCACATCTTCAAGTCATGACAAGTTGGGGATGAAGATGCCACATTGTTAAAGGCACACAATCCTCATCATCATCAGCTTTTTGCCTCTGAGTCTCGTTTCAAAAGCATTTTTTTACAGCTCCATCTGAAGAAAACCTGTAACTGTTTTCACTCTCACCAGATAATCCTAAGACGCCGTCAGCACACAAACCCACCTGTTGGGCTTAAAACGACCCTAAGACGTTTGTCAGCACCTCAGTCATGTCTGCACGTCATTCATGAGACAAAGCAACTCCAGCAGCGTGACTTTTTCCACCTCGGAACAAACATCCGTCCCTCAGAACTTCACGAGTCTGAATGTTCGAGGCTGCTGACGACTAAAACCTGCAAGTCAACCATTCAAACGCAGGCAGGTGGACTCTGACACTGACCTTTGTGACCTCTGCAGAGGCAGGCACCCATGGTCTCAGCGCAGCCGGGCGGTTATCTGTTCACCATGGTGGTCTGAAGATGAGCAGGAGGAGGAGGAAGAAGAGGCAGCAGCAGAAGTCTCACTCAGCGCAGGGGAGAGTGAAAAAAATTGAGGCTGCGGGGTGGAGGAGGGGGTCTAAACAGGCTGTAGCCGATGCTGACTTCTCTGGAGGAGAGAGGTGAGAGAGCGACAAAGTGTGGGGAGGAGGGAGGGGGGCGGCAGGGAGAAAGAGAGGAAATCGGGGAGAAAGCATGACTGCCTGTTTGCTGACGACTGTGAATGCCCTCCCCTCTAACAGCTCCTGCTCTCCCTCTCCATCCCACCGTACGCCTTCCAAACCTCACTGTGTGCGAAGAGAGCGCATTCACTGAGCAAGGCTGGGGATCATCAGTGTGGCAGTTCAGCTCTTTCACTCGGGTTCAAGCAGAAAATAACCAGCTGATCAGAACACCTGATTGAGCTAAATCCTTTTATATGGGTTTTCACAAGTCTGGGTCCGATTTCTTCAGAAACTCTTGAACTAAGCTGTTGGTGACAAAACCCTTTACAATAAATCTTTTTTTACCTTTTTTGAAGCAGTTAAAAGAGTGATCACAGAGCTTCACATCACTGTCCTCTGTTTCTGTTTTTGACCTTACAGATTACAACAATCAGGGACCGAGGAGACGGGTTGCTGGAGTTTTTAGAGGAAATGTTCTTATCTGATGAAAGATTTTAGCTGTTCAGCAGTCCTGGCTCTTATCTTTTGGGATTTTTTTGCGGGATGCATTGTTCTAAAAGCTGCGTATACAGTCCAGCATTGACCGTGTTGTAAGCTGCCCATAGAGGTACTAATGCTCCCCTATACCATCAGTGAGGCAGGCTTTCAAATGAACTCAAATTCAAATTGTGCACTGATAACCGTAATTTGCAAAACAAACTTCAAATTAGTATTTTTCTTACTACAGATCAGTTTTTCAATTTGCCTCACTCCATATTAAAGCATTTGTGATGCAGGTAAGTCAGTGGCATGTAGATGATGTTTAGTTGTTTGCACGATAGAGCTTTAACCAGAACTTGTGGACGGCACAGTGAACTGACTTTACAGACAATAATTTGTGGAATCCTTTGAACCCGGTGAACAGAGTCGGACCCGTTTTTAAAAGTGTCGCCTAAGATCAYAAGTATCAAACATTGACTTTCAGACTTTTAGTTCTTAGCTACTGTTTTGCTAATGTAAGCTTTTAGCTATTTTGCTTGTTTTAAATTTTAGCTACTGTTTTGGTAATTTTAGCTACAGTTTTGCTAATTCCAGTAGCCTTTTGCTTTTGTTATATTTGTTAACTTTATATTAATTATAACTAAGTTGAGCTTTTTTGCTAATTATAACTTCTAACTGCTGTTTTGCTCATCTTAAGTTTTAGCTTTTGTTTTGCTATTTTTAGCCACAGTTTTGTAGCCTTTTGCCTTAAAGTTATATTTGTGTATCTATAAATTTATGCTAAYTATAGCTACGTTTATCTTTTTTTTAATTATAACTTTTGGCTACTGTTTTGCTAACTTTAGCATTTACCTTTTTCTTATTTTAGATTTTATTTTTCTTTTGCTAATCACAAATTGCTAACCTTTATTTTTGTTTTTTCCCCATTCAGATTTTAGCTTTGAATTTGCTCATTTGTATTTTTAGCCTTTGCTAATTTAGGCTTTTAGCTTTTGTTTTATAAATTAGAGCTTTTGTTCGGGTTTGTTTAACTTTTACAAGTTTTAGTTTGTTCAAGAGATTTCAGTAAAGTGGTGCAGCCGTCAGCGTTGAATGGTAAATAAGCTGAACCTGTGTAGCGGTGTTGTATCAAGTCCAAGTACTTCATCCAGACTCTCTTGTTTGTGCTTTCTTGTTTTTCTCAGTTCCGTCATGTCTGGTCTCCATCTCCTCTATAAGCTGGTCCTTGATGATTAACGAGCACACCTCTTCACTGAGCCGCTCATTATCACCTCTCTGTAAAAATACTCCAGGGTTTAACCTGTTCTCTGCTACATCTGTCTCTGTTTCTAATGCGGGGGGTTCGGTTGTCATCTCGCTGAGTGTTTTGTTTTGCTCTGGCCATGCTTCCATTAGTTTTGTCACTTGGAGTTTTATTTATTTATTTTCTGGTTTTGCTTAAATAAAAGTTGAATTGTTTCCTTCCCTCCTGAGCTGTTTGCTCTCCACTCTTGCTACACGCAGTCATGACAGTTAGCTTGTTGAGGAAAGTCAATAGCTGTCATTAGGTGTCAGCTGATTAAAGTGCAGAAGCAGAAACCAGTGTCTCCTCGCCTCTCAGGGTGACGCTTAACAACAAAAAAGGCTCTTCGAAACAACTGACTGAGGACATGAAAGTGAAGCTAATTTATTTCTGCAGAGCGGGGGGAGAATGTAAAATGTGCTATCAGAGCGTCCCTCGGCTGCAGTTTTCACAGACATGTTATTATGGAATAATAGAGCAGGAGGATTATGGGTGTCACTTCCTCTAAATCTGAGGCCACGGCTCTCGACCTGAAAAGGGTGGAATAACCCCTCCAGGTTGGGGGGGGGGGGGGGGGGAGATCTCTGCCTCAAGTGGAGGAGTTTAAACTGGGTGTCTTGTTCACAAGTGATGGTAGATTGGAGTGGGAGATGGACCGACAGATTGGAGCCTCATCCTCAGTAATGAGGGCGTTGCTTCGGTCAGTCATGGTGGAGAAAGCTGAGTCAAAGGACAAAGCTCTGGATTTACTGGTTTGTCCATGTTCCAGCCCTCGTCTGTGGTCCCGAGGGGTGGATCATGACTGAAAGAACGAGATCCCAGATACAAGAAACGAGCTTCTTTCATAGGGTGGCCGGGCTCAGACTTAGAAATAGGGAGAGGAGTTCAAAGTGGAGCCGCTGCTCCTCCACATCGAAACGAGTCTGCTGAGGTGGTTCATCCGATTAGGATGCCTCCCTTTARAGGTGTTCTGGGCACGTCCCRCAGATAGGAGGCCCAGTGGAAGATTCAGAACTCACTGAAGGGATTAGGTATCATCTCTGGTCTGAAAACCTCRAGGTCCCGYTGGAAATTGTTGCTGCAGAGAGGGATGTCTGGGTTTCTCTCCTGGGACCTGTTGCCTTCATGACCCAACAGATAAGCAGCAGAAAATKGAGATTATGGACGTGATGAAAAATAAACTTATAGAGCAGTGGTATCCAAAGTCGGTCCTCAAGGGCCGGTGTCCTGCATGTTTTTGGAGCTGCTCTGGTTCAACACAGCTGAACCTAAGGAGTGCTTAGTAGGTTTCCTCAGTATGCAATCAAGGTCTGCAGAAGCCCACGAAAGCACTCCTTAGGTTCAGCTGTGTTGAACCAGAGCATCTCCAAAAACATGCAGGACATCGGGCCCTTGAGGACCGACTTTGGACACCACTGTTATAGAGCATCTCTGTGACAGACAGGACACCAAAATGCACCAAATGGCCTACTTAAGGAAAAAGTCAATCAATACTATTATTTCAGCATCTTTATCTACTTTATAATGAATCATAACAAATCAGAAAGTCCAGGTGGATTTTTGGGTTTAATTAATGACACATGGTCAATATTAAGTGGTCTTTACTAAAAAACTTACAAATAAATAAATAAACAAACTTTTTCAATGTCATTGTGAAATCAAATTTCTTGTTTTATTTGTTGAAAYGTTTTGTCTTTTATCCAAAAGTCTTATCATCGGAACCTTCATATTCAGTGGTGTGCACAGTTCCCCTAAAGCTCTAAAGCACTAATAGGGTAACTAATTTCCTGGTCAGTGCTTTAGGGCTTTTGCTAATTTTAAAATTTATTGGTGGATTAGCACTTGCTAAATATAGAAACACTGACTGAGGTCTATAAATGTTATTGATCAAAGTCAATGTTTACAACTGAGGATGAAAGCTGTCACACATTTTGTTTATACGTGTGTCACTTATCCACAAGATGATAATATATGAACCCAAATACAGCTGTATGTCAATGATAAGTCATGAGAGAGCAACAACA